GGGTGTGATAATCTTTCATCAAGTAATTGAAGGGTGTCAAAGGGAAGATAAATTCAACAGCATCTAGTTGGCCCCAGAGGGCAGAAGTAGCAATAATGGGTGAGAGCTGCAGAAGGGCAAAGTTGGATAAGGGAAGGAGTTTCTAAGAATTAGAGCTGTCCCATAATAAAATGGGTGGCCTAGGGAAGTAGTGAGCTCCCAGTCAATACAAGTCTTCCAGCAGAGGATGAATGACCCTGAGTCACTTTGGAATGCCAGTAGAGAGGCTTCCTGGGCAGGTACACAGGTTGCCATGGATGATGTCTGAGGCTCCTGATCATGAGAGCTGGTGAATAGGTGGGCTGCCCGCAATTCCCCTCCACAGGAGATCAGGCAGGCAGTGTCCCAGCACAGCGTCCCCAGAGGCGCACACCTCCTAGCCTCTGTGGGGATTTGTCCTAGGCCCTAATTCCTAAGGCATAGTTTACAGGGGAGGTAAAACTCTTGGGGGTGGGGGGAGTGTTTCCCCAGAATGGGCAGGGTCTGTGACATCATTAAAGACTTTTAGGGTTAGAAGGAACCGTAGAATATATCTATTCTAAACTCCCTTCATTTTTACATATAGGGAAACTGAGTCCCAAACAGGCAGTCACCAAGGATCTTTTTTTTTTCAGGTGAGGCAATTGGGGTTAAGTGACTTGCCCAGAGTCACACAGCTACTAAGTGTTATATGTCTGAGGCCAGATTTGAACTCAGGTCCTTCTGACTCCAGAGCCAATGTTCTATCCACCACACCACCTAGCTGCCCCTAGTTACCCAAGGATCTTTCAGATAGCAATTAGCAGAGCCAAAACTGAAATCCAGGGCCTATGACCCATAATCAAACACTCTCCTCCATTATACGAGAAAGTGTTTGGGGTCCAACCAGAGCTGAGGAGGAGGGTGGTTCTTGCTCTGCCTGCCAGGGGTAGTGAGGGACAAATTTTTGAGCTAGCTGTGAACCACTCACCCTGAGGACCAGGCTGCTGCTGAGTGTGCCAGGGTATTACAGGGGGGCATTCCTTTGGGTACAATCTCTCTTCTCTGCCTCAGTTGTGGGTGCCTCCCCTCCTTATCCTTCTCTTCAGCTAATCCCTCTATTTCTATGTTCATGATTTCTGAAAATTCCCTTGTCTGGTCACACTCTGTTGTCATCCCACGTCTCCCTCTGTCTTACAACCCCAAACCTGTGTTCTTCCTCCTTACCATGATCTCCAATCCCTCGACCCCTCAGTTCGCTCTCAGTCCATCCCCCCTGAACTGGCTATGCTCTTTTCCCTTCCCCATCTTGACCTCTTGCAAAACCAGATCAATAACACTCATCTTCTCTTGAGCCCCTTTACTCCTTATCCTATCACTGGTCTTACCCTTCCAAGCCTCAGCTTTGAAATACTCCTGGCATCCAATGTCTTCTCTCCTGCTGTTGTGATGCAGAATGAATTTGGAGAAAACCATGAAACTCTGCTGATTGGGCCCACTACAAACTTGTGTTAAGCAATCTGTACTGGGCTCTCACTGCAGCAAGGCAATCCTTTCACACTCCCCTGAAATTGGCTTACTATCCTACTCACCACAGCCTCTTTCATCCTTTCTCAAACTTCTTATGGCCTCTCCTCTCTCCATCCTCTCAGCAGAGGACTTGGCCTCAAGTTTCCTTCTTCTCTCCTTTTCTTCACGTCTTATCACTCAGATGCTTTCCCTACAATCTCCTCCTTTACCCCTGTCTCATATGATGAGCTAGCCCTTCTCCTTGTCAAGGCCAACCCCTGTACCTACACAAAGGATCCTCCATTCCATCCTGTCTCCTTCAGCAGATATCCCCCTCTGCCATCTCTACTCTTACTAATCTCTAGTATCTCTTTGTCTACTGATTCTTCCCTGCTGCCTGGGGAAAATGCCGCCATTTCCCCTATCCTCAAAAAAACAAAACAAACCACCCTTGCTTGATCCATCCATCCCATATCTCTCCTCCCTTCTGTGGCCAAACTTGAGAAACCCCTCTACCCCAGGTGTCTTCATAGTCCTCTCTGTCTCTTACACTCTACAATTGGGCACCTAACCTCATCATTTACCTGAAAATGGTCCTTGAAAGTCACCAGTGCCCTTTGAAGTGCCAAATCTCATGGTCTTTTCTCTATCCTCATTCTTCTTGACCTCCCAGCAGCCTGTGGCATTGGCAATCACCCCCTTCTTTCTAGGTTCATGACCCTACCCTCTCCCAGTTCTCCTCCTGTCTGTCTCACTGGGCCTTCTCATTCTCCTTAGTTGGATCTTCAGCCAGGTCATATGCAATAACTGTGCTCTGTCCTGGGCTCTCTTCTCTTCTAGATTTGATTTTATTTCTCTATAGCAATGGTCATTTTTCTAGCCTAACTTATCTCCTAACTTCCTGACTCCCATCTCCAGCTGTCCATTAGACATATCAAAATGGATGTCCCATAGACATCTCAAACTCCACACATCCTGCACCAAACTCATTCTGTTTTCCCCTAAGCCCTACTCTCCTTCCAAACTTTCTTATTTGTCAAGGGCACCAGTCAGCCAGGCTCACGTTGTTAGTGCCTCACTATCTCTCACCCCCCCCCCATAGCTGATCTATTGCCAAGTGTGTTCATTCACCTTTGTGGGACTTCTCGCATATGCCCCCTTCTCCCCTCAGGTCTTACCACGCTGCTGGTGCAGAATCTCACCATCTCACACCTGGACTATTGTTAACAGCTGCTGGGGTAGGGGTGGGGGAGGCTGCCTGCCTCAAGTCTCTCCCCCGTGCAGTCTATCCTCCATTCAGCCACCAACATCACTTTCCTAAAGCACAGGTCTCACCACGTCATTCCCCCTACTCAACAAATTCCAATGGCTCCTTATCATCTTCAGGATCAAATAGAAAATTCTCTGATCTTCAAAGTCCTTCAGAGCTTACCCCCTCCAAATTTTCAGTCTTACCCCCCCTCCACCATCACGTACTGTGAGAGCCAATGATGCTGAATGTTTCTTAACGTTCCCTGAATGAGACACTCTATCCAATGACTCTGGGCATTTTCCCTGTCTGTTCCCCAGACTTGGAATGCTCTCTCTCCTCATCTCTGCTTCCTGACTTCCTCCACGTCCCAGGTAAAATCCCATCTTCTACAGGACAATCCCCCTTAATTCTAGGGCCTTCCCTTCTCTGCTGAATCTCCTATTTATCCTGCCTATAGCTTGTTATACAGTGATGTTTTCATGTGGTCTCTTCCATTAGACTGTGAACTTCTTAAGAGCAGGGAATGGCGGCTTTTTTTATTGTTTGTTTTTTGTTTCTCTTTGTATCCCCAAAGCTTAGTACAGTGCCTGACTGCTTGTTGACTGACTTATTGTTAATTCCTAGCTCTGCTCTTTGAGCTAGGGAGCTCACCCAGTGGGGTCATTCTTCTACATTGCTCACATAGTGATGGCTACAGGGACCTCAGGTCTGACCTGGGGCCTGGGTGGCCAGGTCTGGTACCAATCACTGGGAAATGTGGCCAAAGGAGGAAGGTGTTGGATATTTCAGGGCTTAGTAAGTCTTTCTGGCATCCAGTCAGCTATAACCATGTGGGGTGAGAAGGAGTACACCATTCTCCTCATCCCTGCCCTGATGTAGGTGCCTGAGAAGGTGGTGGGAACCAGACCTGGGGCAGAAGATTCCCAGGAACTTACCTCGCAGTTATGCTTTAAGAAAACACTAATCAAGGGGCAGCTAGGTGGTGCAGTAGATAGAGTCCCACCCTGGAGTCAGGAGGACCTTAGTTCAAATCCGGCCTTAGATACTTACTGGTTGTGTGACCCTGGGCAAGTCACTTAACCCCAATTGCCTCTGAAAGAAAGACTAATCAATTAATTGATTAGCTTTTATTAAGTCCTGACCATGTGGCAGACACTGTGTTGAGTACTGTGGACAAAAAGATGAAAGTGATATTAGTCCCTGACCTCAAGGAGATTACATTCTAACAGGGGAGTTGTTACATTCTAACAACATCTGTAAGTGTTTACAAAATACATACAAGACAAGTACAAGCTGACCTTGGAGGGGTGGGGGAGAAAAGACGCTAACAATCGGCAGGGGGTGGGGGGGTGAACTAGGGAGGTCTGCAGAAAGTGTCTGCTTTAGAGGGACAGGAAGTAAGGATTTGGAATCCATTCGAATCCTTCTTCTATCACCTGTTACTGCTTCTGACTCATTCTATGACCTGCCATGTGTCACACTGACATTTGGACACTTCCTCTATCCGGTCCTCGGTTTCTTCATCAGTAAAATGGGAGGGGGTGTTGAACTTAATTGTGTTTGAGGTCCCTTCTAGCTCCAAATCCAGAATCTGATAATCTCTAGTCTCTCAGCTGGGAGGAAAAATATGAGGCAGCTGGTGGGGTGGAAGCCTAGACAGGGTGTGGACTGCAGTACAGGGACATTGCCTCCCCTACCTATTCCCATAGCTGCCAAGGGCTTCTGAGGAGAGCAGGTGGGGCCTGACATGTAGCACTTGGTTCCCTCGGCCAGCAGGCCCACTCTGATACAGAGCCTGGCCCAAACCTTCCTCTATAGGCTCAGCTGTCCTTGACCAGACCAGACCAGCTAGGGAGCCCTTTTATTTCCCTCTCCTTTGCCATTCTTGGCCCAACAGACAGATGCCCCATTGTCAGGCTGGGCCCGCTTCCAGAAAACCTGAAGGACTCACAGTGAAGTCTGATGAACTGGGCAGATGTGAGGCAGGCGGACAGAGAGATGAAGGGCCGGGTGATGGCTGAAGAGCTGAGGGATGGACAGATGGGGGAATGCCTTGTCCTGTGATGTTTCTCCCTCAATTTTCTCTGACTCAAGAGCAATTTGAGGAGGAGGAGGAAGATAATGGTGATGGTAACAATGATGACAGTACAGGTAGACCTCATTTCAGGAACTTCACCAGAGACATTCAATTCAATTAAACAAACATTTATTTGTTTGCAACATATTTTCATTCTTGCTGTGTGACCATCTACAAAATCACTTGACTTCTCTGAGATTTCATCTGTAAAATGGGATCAAAATAGTCAACAATCATTTATTAAGCACCTACTATGTGCTAGGCACTGTGCTAAGCACTGAGGATACAAAGAAAGACAAAGGAACCCTCAAGGAGCTTATAGTCTAATGGAAGAGACCACATGGAAAACTCTGTAGATACATGATACAGACAAGGGTAAATTGGAGAGAGTTGGCTACCATATTCAGACACAGTACTGAGTTCTGGGTCGAAAGACAAAAACAAAACCATTTCTGTTTTGATTAAAGTGGGATTTAACCCTAAGTCTTCTGGACTCTTACTCTCTAACTTTAGCAATTACTGATGTGCCTGCCATGTAGTAGGCACTTCATAAATGCTCATTGATTGACTGACTATTCACTCACCACAGTGTTTCTCTGGTAGGGATGTCAACAGATCCTCTGATCAACTCTGAGGGATAAGTATTATTATTACCTCCATTTTACCATGGACTCTCAGAGAGGTCAAGTGATTTACCCTGGGTCATACAGCTAGTAACTGTCTAAGGTGGCACTTGAACCCTGGGTAGAGCCCAAATCCAAGTCTCTACCCACTCTACCACACTGCCCCTCTGTGACCTTATGGACTTTTCTCACACACATATTTATCAAATGAACAACCCCAAAGATATTCAGGTCCACATGTAGATTGACAAGCCATCACCTGAACCCAGAAATGCCTCTACTCACTGACTCTCTCATGTGCCCCTTACATAACACTGTTGTCAATGCCTCCTCGCGTCCTGTGATGGGAGGAGTTGAGAAAGAGAAAGGATAGTTTTGAGATGTTTCCTGGGTGGCTTGGCAGTTGGGTGGGGTGGCCTGGAGGAGGAGAAGAAAGAAATGTCCAAAATTTCCACATTCACACAGGGAGGGGAAGGAGAGAGGACAAAAGAATGCTGATAGCTGAGAGTGGAGGAGGAAGAATTCCCAGGGGCTTAGTGGTCCTAAGCAAGAGGAATGGGCTGGACTTCCCCAGTAGCCTCAAGGGAGTGATACAGCATTCTAGGGCCTCACCAAGAGGCCATGAGGACTTGGGATGTTCTGGGGCCCTTCCAAATGGAAATTCTCCCCTGCTTCCTAGACTGTAAACCTTGTGAGAAGACAGGTGACTTCAACACTGATTCTCCAAAGACTTCTCCCATAACAGGTCTAGACCCCTGCCCCAGATAGAGAACTAGGCAGTTAGTTCGCCCAGTGGTTAGAGACCTGGGCCTTGAGTTGGGAAGCCCTAAGCTGAAATCCTGCCTCAGACACTGACTAGTTATAGGACTCTGGACAAGTCATGTAACCGCTCTCTGCCTCAGTTTCCTCATTTGTAAAATGAGGGAGTTGGACTCAATGGTCTCTAAGGCCTACTCCTGGAGCAGCCGTTGCGGCATTTCAGTAACTTTCAATTATATGTTTATGAATTGTGCTTGTAGATCATTGGTGGGCACCTCTGTTAGCTTCCCAGGTGGTGACAGGAGGGGATGAGCACCAGACAGAGACGGTGCGAGGGGTCGGCCCAATGTGGTTGTGTTTGTCGGACTGTGTGTGTTCAGATGTACCCGTCTGTAAGCCTAACTCATGAGCTTAGGGTGTTGGCCACCCTCAAGGATGTGAAGGATGTTGTGAAGGATGACTCGGTCATCAGTCAGCAGGCCACGTCTGCGTGACCCCGTGGGGTTGGTGTTGTGTCAGACTGTGTGTGTCTGAGGGTATGGATTTGATTGGGTCGTCCGGCCCTGTTGGTCTGATGAGGATTCTGGTGGTGTGTCAGACTGTGTCCACCTGGGTATGGTCATCCGCCTGGGAGGCTGGGATTCATTCTCTCAGGTTGTGGGTTTGACTGTGTTTGTCTGGCTGTGTCAGCCTGGCTGGTGTGCCCCCCTCCATTTGTGCATGCGCCTGGCTGGCTAAGCCTCTGGAAGTCTCACTGGGTTGTCAGGTCCTGTTTTCTGACCATAAGAGTCTGACTCCATGAATCTGATTCTATTCATTCAGTTGCATGTTAGACTGATTGACTGTCCATGTCTGACTGTGCATGATGGTGGCGTTTGCATGCGTCTGTATGAGTCTGACTGGCTGCATTCCAAAGCCAGAAGTAACAGATTTTGTAATCATCCTTGGTTTCGTATTATCCAAATATCCTTCTTGCCTATTGCAAGAAATTCAATGCCTGGCACACAGTAGGAGCTCAACATATGCTTGTTTAATAGTTTTGAACTGAATCTGAGAGTTGACAGAATCACAGGATCTCAGCATAGGAGGTGATCTCGTGGCCAAGTAGCCTATCTCATGGCTGATGGACCATGTCCTCCATCATGTCCCTGATGGGTGAATGGTCAGCTGGCCTCTGCTTGATAGGCAGAGCCCATGCCCTACAGAGGCAGCCTGTTCCACTCGTGGGCCATTCTAGTGGTTCAGGCTTTTCCTTCCCTCAAGCTTCCTCTCCCCAACTCTATTCATTGTGTCTAGCTCCCTGTTGTGTAGAAACAGAATAAAGAACAAGCATGATTATTGAGCACCTACTATGTGTCAGGCACTGTGCTAAGCACTTTTACAAATAGGACCTCATTTGATCCTCACCACAGCCCTGGGAAGCAGGTGCTACTATTATTTCCATCTTTCAGATGAGGAAACTGAGGCAGACAGCGGTTAAGTGACTTGTCCAGGGTCACACAGGTCATAAATGTCTGAGATTGGATTTGAACTCAAGACTTCCTGACTCCAGGTCCCATGGTTTATCTCAGAAAACATCTGGTTTCTCTGATTTAGTTTTTCCTTTTCTGTTTAATAGACAGTTTCTCCAAACCAGTCATTAAAAAGTTTATGTCATTTATTTAGGGTCTGGAATAACTCCTGGAGTAGCCATCATGAAGTTATGGTAAACTTTCAATTATGTGTTTACCCACCTTGTGGATTATCAGCAGGCTCCTCCTTCAGCCTCCCAGGCTGGTCACCAAACAGAGAGTGGGTGGGGGCGGGATCGTCTGTGAGCTGGTTTGGCCCAATCTGGCTGTGTTGGTTGGACTGAGTGTGTGTTCAGCTGTGTTGGACTACTTGCTCCAACAATTGAACTGTTTGTCTGACTGTGAGTTGGATGGGTGTGTGTTAGTACATTGTCCCGTGTGAGCCGGTTATGGACGACTCAGTTTCTTTGTACTAAGGGCTTGGCGTATTGACCCTTCCTCCTGCCTGGTACTTACTTCCTCCTGCCTCTTCCCTTTTCTAGTCTCCCTTCTCACATTCTTTGCTCCCCCTTCCCCATTCTAGAACTTCTCTGCAGGCTAGAACCTTTCCCTTCTCCATCTGAATGGTGCCTGTGACATCAGGGGGTTAGAAACCAATCAGACTGGCCTGAGTGGGGGAAGGGGTACCCTTCCTTTTTCTATAAAACAACCAGAGGAGTTTTGATACAGGAGCAGCCATGGTTCTCAAGGGAGGGAGTAGCCTGGAAACACGGACCCAGGAGTCCTAGAGAGAACCTGGTGGAACCCTGGTCCAGATCCTTGGAGGGCTGTATCTCTTCTCCACCTCCACTAGAGACAGCTACGTGTGCAGTAGATAGAACACCAGGCCTGGGGTCAGGAAGACCTGAGTTTGAATCCAGCCTTACTAGCTTTATGATTCTGGGCTAGTCACTTAATCTGCCTGCCTCAGTTTCCTTGACTATAAAATGGAGATAAGGGCACCTACCTCCCAGGGTTGTTGCATGGATCAAATGAGATAATATTTGTAAAGTACACATAGTATTTGTACAGATATTTATAAAGCACATAGTCGGTGCTTAATAAATACTTTTTTTTCTTCTTTCTTTTCATCCTGCTTTGAAGGCATCAATCCTAACCCCAAAGTGAAGCAATGATGGGCTGCTCTGTGCAAGTTTCTAATGGTCCTGGGTGCTTTCTTTTTGTGGTAGGGACCCAAACTGGGGTCCTATACTACAGGTCTAGAAGACTGAAGAGGCCCCAGGGAGATGGTGCTTACCACAGGGTAGATTGCTTGACTCTTTAGACTAAACCCTGAGATTTTTTTCTCCTTGTGGGGGTCATCCACCTTCCTTCCCTTCCCAAAGCTCTATATAGATCAAGAAGATTAAAGAGGTCCCTGGTGCTAGTGGAGCTCACCGAGGGAGGAAAGTTGTCTTCCCTGTTCATGGACTCAGAGGTGAGCTCTTTGCATTGTTTTTGATTAAGTTAAATAAAACCTATCCTACATTCAATATCTCATTAGACACAGCGCTCACATAGGAACTGGTGGCCCTTTTCCTATTTTTGTGGCGATACTGAACCAAATTCTGATATTCCTAGTTGACATCTTGGGTGGGGACATTAGCCTTATTTACTTAGGGGGAAGCCCTTAAGATTAAACTATGACCCCTCCAAAGCTATTACACTGTGTATACCCTTTGATCCAGTGATAACACTTCTAGCATTGTTGGGTCAAGGATGTGCTGGTTAATGTTTAACAACCAGCCTGGGGTAGTGGTAGAATGCACATAGGACACACTTTTAAATTTAATCTGCATTATTGTTCTCTTAATCACTTTCTAAATCTAACAATCAGCAAAACAATAAATCACACCTTGATTTGTAGCATTGCCAGTTTCCTAGGTGCAAATACTCACACTGAAGATTTAACAATCAGCTCCTTGCCAGTTCAAGCTGGCTCCAGAACACCACTGCCTCTACCACCAAAGAGATCAAAGAAAGAGACAGAAGACTCCTATCTACAAAGCTGTTTACAACAATTCTTTCGATGGTGGCAAAGAACTGGAAACAAAGAGGGTGCCCATCAATTGAGGAATGGTTGAGCAAGTTATGGTATATGAATGTGATGGAATACTATTTCTCTGTAAGAAAGGATGAAGAAAATGGTTTTAGAGAAACCTGAGAAGATTTTTATGAACTGACACAGAATGAAGGGAGCAGAACCAGGAGAACAATTTATATAATAGCAACAATGTCACAAAACAGAACAACTTGAAAGACTTAATACAAAGACCATGGATCCAAAGGACTGATGGTGAATTTTGCTACCCACCTCCTAACAGAGAAATAGGATCCTAAAGGCAGAAAAAGACAAAAAAATTTGTATAATGTACAATGTACATTTATTTTGAGTATGCGCGTGTTATAAGGGTTTTCTTTTTCTTCTTTTTCCAGTAGGGGTGGGGTAGAAGGAAAAGCAAATAAATGCTTGTTATTTGGAAAAAACAAAACAAAACCTAGTCTATGTAAAAACAGAACTTAGATCCTGGGCATGGGCTATACCCATTTAACAGATGAAGAGGCTGAAGTTCAGAATGACTACATGATTTGCCCATATCCCCACAGTAAGCATCACAGACAGTATTTAATATATTTAATAGGTCTTTCCTGACTCCAAAACTAGAATTTTTTAAAAAAATGTTTTATTGATACTTTAAAAAGACATTGCTGTAAGTTCCCAATGTTTTCCCCCTTCTCCCAATTGAACCATCCCTTATAAAAGTCCAGCTAAGCAAAACAGACCATCATACTGGCTGGCTTTGACAATATATGCCTCATTTTGCACCCCTAGCCCACCATCTTTCTGTCCAGAGGAGAAGGATGCGTTTCACCTCTAGTCTTTGGAAGTCAAGAGATTGGTCATTATGCCGATGAATGTTCTAGTATCTTTCAGTGGGGTTTTACTTTACATTATTGTGGTCACTGTGTTTTATCACTAATACAGTACTACAGCGTACTCACCCTAACCACTCTTTACTACAAGCCGCCCACAGTGGTCAGACTTTCCCAGCACCCAGGCCTTGTCTGATGTCCATGGTTCCTCCAATGGCTGAACCTTGCCCAGTGGCCAGACCTAGTGTCTAGATCTTCCCCAAGGAGGTTCCAGACTTCCTGAATGGTCAAGCCTTTCCCCCAGTGTCCAGGCTTCCTCTAGTGTCTAGGCCTCCCTCAGCATCCAGGCCTCCGTCAGTGGCCAGGTTTCCTCCTTAGTGGCCAAGTTTTCTCCCCAGTGTCTACACTTTCTCCAATGGCCGAGCCTTGTCCAGTTGTCAGACCCAGTGTCCACATCTTCCCCAGGGTCTAGACATCCCGAGTGGCCCAGACTTCTCCCCTAGAGTCCCAGCCTCCTTTAGTGGACAGATTTCCCCTAGTGTCCCAATACTCCCTAGGGTTCAGCCCTCCCACAGTGGCCAGACCTTCCCCAGTGTTTAAGCCTCCCCCTGGGCTCAGACCAATTATTGTCCAGTGAGCAGGCCTCTCTCTGTGCCCAGGTCAGCCTGTTAGAAGAGGAGGGGCCTCAGCTGTAGCCAAGAGCCTCTGAGCATGAGGTGCTTGTGGAGGCTTCAGCTCCCCCCTGACCTCTGGGCAGGACTGTGAGAACTGAAAACAATTCTGAATGCTGGCTCTGCAGAGCAATTTATCATTTATAATGGTGCTATTCATTGACTCAGGAAAGAGCCCATCCAGGGGAAACATGGGCTGGTTTTATGAGGATGGCTTTCGTAATGGGCTGCCATTAACACTGTGTGAACATGCCAGGTGCATGACCAGGCACTCAGCCTTGTTTTCCACCTGGAAGAACAGGAGAAAGGACTGAGTCCTGGGCTGTCCGTAAGCCCAGAGTCCTGTCCTGGCTGGGACCTGCTATGGAACGTGGTTAGCGGCTGAGTAAATGGACCTTGGGGATTTCTCTCCCGAATGAGCAGTGAGGATCAGATTGGTAGCAAGAAGGGACCACAGAGGGCATCAAAGTTGTGTCAAGGTCACACAGGAAGCGAATGGCCATATTGGCATTTGACCCAAGGTGCTTTGACGCTAAATCTAGCATGGAACAAAGTCACCTCCCCAGCCCTTTGCTCATGTCAGGCCTGCCACCAGGAATGCCCTCTCTCCATCCACATCCACTCATCAAAGCGTACAGGTCCTACAGGTCCCAGTTTAAATGCTATGTCTTCCTTTTACTTTGAGAGGCACCCTGGTGGACTGGGTGGGTCACTGAACACTTGGGAAAAGCTGGGTTTAAAGGCTGCATGCAGGGTGTCCCCAAAGTTGTAACTGAATCTACATTATTCCTATTTTTCTTCATCATTTTCTTCAATCTACACAGTCAGCTGACCAACCAGACAAATAGAGCCTTAGTTTGCAGCATTTGTCAACTTCTGAGCTGTCAATGCTCACCTTGATAACAACTGGCTCTCATGACCAAGTAGGGACCCGGTGCTCCCTTATAATAACAGCTAACATTTTTATAACGCCTGCTATGTGCCAGCCACTATGCTAAGTGCCTAGTACTTAAATATTATCTCATTTGATCCTCACAACACCCTGGGAGGTTAGGTGCTAATAATAATAGTCATCTTCAATTGACAGTTGGGGAAACTGAGGCACACAGAGGTTAAGTGACTTAGCTGAGGTCACCTAGCTAGCAAGCTCCTGAGGCTGGATTTGAACTCAGGTATTCCTGAGTCCAGGCCCAGTGCTCCACCTAGCGGCCTGCTATATTACCTAGTTGCCCTTTGTTGTCGTTTGGCCTTTGCTTTTGAAGAGGACTGATGATGTCTCCAGCAATGTCCTGTCTTGCCCATGAATTGGATTGAATCGGGGCAGAGCTGCACAAAGTCATCAGCCTCACTGTCTCCTCCAGAGTCATCCAAGGTCAGTGTCAGGACGAAAGTCAAGATGACTGGCGGTGGCTTGAGATGCGGTGGATGCAGAGCCTGGCCGAGCTCTAGGCACTCCACAGAACCTGCTTCAGTGGCCTTCGCAGCTTCGTGGAACAAGTCGTCCTCCCGTTCCACCAGGGGAAGTCTTCACATGCTTGGTGCAGACAACCCCCCTAACTCACCAATGGATAACGCAGTCCCCCCTGGGTCTTTCTTGATTACAGGGGAAGAACTGGTGAGAGCGGAAGGCCAGTGACGGCTCTTTGGGGAAGAAGAAGAACGTCATTAATGGGGGCAGTAGCACAGAGGAGATGGTGGACTCTGTCACCCCCTTGGCAAGTAGCCATTTTTGAAGTCTTCATCCCATGTTCTATTATCTTTCTGCTCCTCTGAAGAAGATATCCCTAAGCTACAATGTGGGCGTGTTTTCCTTCTGGACCTTAGAGAGAGAAGAACCTTAATGTGGACATGAGAAAAGTGTTATTTGGAGAGTTCTCGATAGGGCAGCTTCCTTCTTAGACAGCAAGGCCAAATTCTCTACTTACCTTCAGACGTGGGGACAAATCCCCCAGTGTCCTGAGGGATCTTACTTCCTCATCCATATGTGTGGCCTAAAACATTGCCATTATTATAGCACGAA